GGCCGGGCCTATGGGCCGGGCCGGGCTTCAGACACCCAAGCCCAAGCCTAGCCCGGCCCAAGGCGGGCCGGGCCATCTCAAAGCCCATAACGGGCCGGGCCGGGCTTTTTTCCAATGGGCCGGGCGGGCCCCCATCAGCCCATGAGCCCGCGGGCCAAATGATGAGGCCTAATCTGATGATAAGTATGTCACATGATCTCTTCTTAGTTTGTCTGACTGCAGTTACTTCCCTGTTGCATGATATCTTGGATTAGCAGTGCAATGTTGAGGTGAGAAGATCCCCCTTCTTCTACTGCTCTCCTTGCCATCTCTCCAAACTTTTTAGCTCTTTCTCTTCTGCCTTGGCTTTCTTCTCCATCCATCAATTTTTCTATGGCCTCCTTCACATTTTCCTTTTTAACCAACACCCCAATCTTCTCCTCCTCTCCCCACTTTAGTGGATATTCCACCCCAACTTTCACTGCAATCTTTAGAATCTGTTCAACTAGTTTCTCATTGAGGAATTGGTCTGAAAACAATGGCCATGTGATCAAGGGCAACCCGGCACATATCGCTTCCAATGTGGAGTTCCAGCCACAGTGTGTTAAGAACCCGCCAATTGCAGGATGTGATAATATAAGTGTTTGTGGAGCCCAACCCCGAATCAGAAGGCTCCTTTCTTTCGTTCTTTCCTTGAATCCATTTTCTGAAATCCATTTCTCCAGTTCCTCTGATTGCTTGTATCCCCTTACAACCCAAATGAACGGTTTATTTGATGCCTCTAACCCCGACCCAAGCTCTATCAGTTGTTCAGAGATGAGGTTACACATACTTCCAAGGCAAGCATAAACTACAGAACCTGGTGCCCACGAGTCAAGCCACTTCAAGCAGTGATGTTCATCAATTGAGGCCTTGTTACCCCTTTGTGCCTTGTCCAAGTCATCTTTGTTGCATAGTGAAGCAGGGCCAATGCACCAGACTTTATTCTTTCTTGCATTCCTGTATTCTTTAACATATTCTGGCTCCAATTCCTCAAAAGTATTAACGATCATCCCATATGACTCCATCTCAGCTGCTGCCACTTTTTCAGTAAAACCTTTCACTCTTGTTGTCAGCCTCCCGGAAACCTGGGCTTTCGTTATCTCAATTTGATCAGGCAAGTCAGGTACAACAAGGTACTCTGATTCGGATGTCACATTCTCAAGAACTTTGGATACGCGCAAATTGTGAATGAACAAGAGACAGAAGCAGCATGTTCCACTGAAAGATATCCTTGGAATGTGAAACTTGCTGGCAATGCTGGCTGTCCATGGAAGACACATGTCTGAGATTATGCAGTTTGGCTTCGGGATAAGCTCTTCAAACAGTTTCTCTACCGGCTGTTGAAGCAGGGCAGTTGCTGCAAAAAAATTCAAGATCAGGTCTTGTGAAGGTAGCAATTCAGGGTTCTCGCAACCATCAGGCAATCCTGCTTCTTCACTTGGAAATTTCAGTTGGATTAACCGGATTTGGAGCCCTGATTCTACGGCTCGAGTAACGACCGCTTCAACACGTGCTGCATTATGTGGGGTGGTGACTAGGGTGACAAGGATCCCTTGTTGTGCCAACAGTCTGCCAATGTCTGTCATTGGGATCAAGTGGCCTGAGGCCGGAAAGGGCAACAAGAGAAAGTGAAGCTGGCTTTGTTGATGAGAAGCCATGGAAACTAAATGGAATTGATAAACAACTATAAATGTTCTATGAATTAAGCAGAGACTTAAGTCACTTGCTTAATGAGTAGTGATTCATATATAGCAAACTGCTTTGCTGGTGACGTAAGAGCATACGTATATATGTGCATTGACTTATCCAAGAATATTTTAGTGGTTGAGAGAGTAGAACAAAATTCTGTGCTATGGACAAGATAATGTTACAACACTCTCATTGTCTTCCCATGTCATTCTCTGTTTTCTATAGCACTTATGGATTTACGTGAAGCATCTCCCATTGCTAAATATGGAACATAGAAGATATTTTTGGGCTCTCACTGAGCGCCTAAAATAGGATGCATTGTCAGATTCTTTTTTTCCAGCAGCAGTCAGATAACATGCGAAGGTAGACAGGACACCGTTCTGTTTGGTTCGGTCTAGAGCCACAGTGCGAATCGAACCGACCAAGTGGAACCGTAAGCCAAACCAATAAGATTAGTTTAGGCCAGTTCAGTTTATCAAGATTCGCGATTTCGGGTGGTCATTTCGATTTCTATTTCATACCAATTTTCTTATTTTTTGTTTAATTATTGCTTTTACAAAATTAATAGGCTGAAACACACCTATATTTGGTTCTTCCAAATCAACCTAAGTACAGTAATGAGACAAATAGTGAAATAAAAAACTGCATTATAATCATTTCAAAAATCTATGCAGTAAGCAGTATGCTTGAGAAAAGATCCTTCACATCCTTTTTAGTTTGTGTTTATGCAATTTAGTTCTTTGATCTCTTGGATTAGCTGTTTAATGTTCAGGTGAGAAGATCCACCTTCTGCTACTGCTCTCTTTGCCATCTCTGCTAACTCTCTGGCTCTCTCTCTCCTTCCTTGGCTTTCTTCTCCATCCATCAATTTCTCTATGGCCTCCTTCACTTTCTCCTTTCTTAACACCCTCCTAATCTTCTCCTCCTCTCCCCAAGTCACTGGAAATTCCACACCAACTCTCACTGCAATCTTTAGAATCTGTTCAACAAATTTCTCATTCATAAATTGGTCCCCAAAAAGTGGCCATGTGAGCAAAGGCACCCCAGCACAAATCCCTTCCAATGTGGAATTCCAGCCACAATGTGTCAAGAACCCACCAACTGCAGGGTGCGATAATATGAGCGTCTGGGGAGCCCAACCCCGAATCAAGAGGCTCATTGCTTTGTTCCTTTCCTCAAATCCACTTTCTGCAATCCACTTCTCCAATTCCTGTGATTCTCTGCAGCCCCTTACAACCCAAATGAACGGTTTATTTGATGCCTCTAACGCCAATCCAATCTCTACCAACTGTTCAGAGCTGATGTTACACATACTTCCAAGGCAAGCATAAAGTACAGAAGCTGGTGCCCATGAATCAAGCCACTTGAAGCAGTGAAGTTCATCAACGGAGACTTTGTTGCCCCTTTGTGCCTTGTCCAAGTCGTCTTTGTTGCATAGGGAAGCAGGGCCAATGCACCAGAGTTTATCCTTCTTTACCTTTTTGTATTCTTTAACATATGCTGGCTCCAATTCCTCAAAAGTATTCATGATCATCCCATATGTCTCTGTGTCAGCTGCTGCCATTTCGTCACCAATATCTTTCAGTTTTGCTGTCACTGTCCCGTCTGGAAGCTGAGCTTTTGTCATCTCAATTCGATCAGGCAAGTCGGGCAGAACAAGGTACTCTGAATCAGACGTTACACTCTCAAGTACGTTGGATGCGCGCAAATTGTGAGCGCACAAGAAGCTGAAGCAGCCTGTTCCACCAAAAGATATCCTTGGAATGTGATGCTTGCTAGCAATGCTATATGTCCATGGAAAAGTCACGTCTGAGATTATGCAATTTGGCTTTGGAGTGAGCTCTTCAAATAATTTCTCTACTGGCTTGTGAAGCAAGGCAGTTGCAGCAAAGAAATTGAAGACCAATTCTGGTGAAGGTAGCATGTCGAAGTTTTCGCAGCCTTCGGGCAATCCTGCTTCTTCAGCTGGAAATTTCACTTGGATTATGCGGATTTGGAGCCCAGATTCTATGTCTCGAGTAAGAACTGTTTGAAATCGGGCAGCATTGTGGGGTGTAGTAAATATGGTGACAATGATGCCCTGTTGTGCAAACAATCTAGCAATGTCTATCAATGGGATCATGTGGCCTGAAGCCATTAGAGGAAAGAACACAAAGTGAAGCTGGTGGTCTTGATGAGAAGCCATGGAAATCAAGGGGAAGAGATGAACAACAATAATGTTCTATGAAATGAATTAAGCAGGCTTAAGTTTCTTATTTAAGTACTGCTATATATAAAAACTTTGATGCTACCAGTCAATTGTTCTTTGTTTATACATGTATTAGTTTATCCAAAGAAGATATGTAAGAGCATACGTATAGATGTATTAGTTTATCCAAAGAAGATAATAGTGACTCAGAGTAGAAAATGATGTTTATGGATGAAGAGGTTTAGGAAATAGTTGGTTCTAGTGTTTAGGACAATAACTTGACTCTGAATAGAAAACAAAGTAATTTTATTTGAATGCGGAGAAAAGGTACAAAGCTTAAATATAAGACTGCCCCGTTTGGGATTGCTTTATTTCGTCAAAAATCTGCTTCACTTTAAAGTTAAGCAGTTTAAGGTGTTTGGTAAAAATAAAATATCCTGATTATTTTAAAAGCAATGACCTTTTGACAGCAGACTCTTGGTTGTTTTTCAAAGCTGCTTTCAAAAGAAGCAAAGATGAACATTTAAGGAATTTTTTTAATTCCCAAAATACCATCATTCATTTTAAAAAATGACACCACCTTCACTTCCACATCCAACTCCACCATTTACACTACAACATTCACTACCTCCACAACCACCACCACCACCACCACAACCACCACCTCCTCCACCACCTCCACCTCCACCTCTACCTCCTCCACCACCACAACCACTATCACCACCACCACCACTACCACTACTATCACCACCACCACCACCACCACCTCCACATCCACCACCACCTCCACAACCAACAACACCACCACCTCCATGTTGCAACTGCCACCACCACCACCATCTCCACCTCCACCTCCACAATCGCCGTCCCTACAACCACCACTACCACAACCACCAACCCACCTTCATCACCTCCACTTCATCACTACTACTACCATTACATGATTAATACATAACACTTTCAACATCATGTCTATTTTAGTCATTATTTACAGTTACAATAATTTTATATTAAAATTTACCAAACGGTTTTGACACTGCTTTTTGTACTAACAACACTTTAAAAATATTTTTTTACCAAACATGGAGCTGCTTTATTTTACAGCTAATTATTTTCAAAGGACAGTGGAAACAACTTTTTTTAAAGGTGACAGCAATCCCAAACTAGGCCTTAAACTGCTTAACTTTAAAGTGAAGTAAGTTTTTGGGCAAAAAAAGCAATCCCAAACGGGGCCTTAGTGGGATATAGGACAGCTGGTAGTTTTTCAACTTATATATATATATATATAATGCGCATTAATTTTAACAGAAAAGAACTTTGTGGACAATGTTACCTCTGACCGTTCTCTTTCATGTGCTAAGACAGACCTGCGGGGACCCACTACTAAGTCATCCAAACTTAGCATTGGTACATTGAATTGATAAAAATGTCATGGTTGGGCCCACAAGCTGGGTGTGAGAAGTTTCGCAGCACCAAACTTTGACTATGGCTAAAGAACGTCCTCCTTGTGAAGTAACAGCAGATGTAAGCATTCTGTGAGTAACTATTAGTGTCTGCACAGAGGAAAGAAAAGACTAAAGAGTGAAAGTATCCTTGGGCTGGGTGAGACGAGGTCCAGCGGTCCAGGTCGGCGCAATTAGCAAGGGATTACTTACCTTTAAGCGGTAGATTATTGTGATACTCCTCCAATGTATGATCATACTAATCATCATTCATGACTTGTACCGAACCACGCAACCCCAACAGCATTAATTTCCCACACATCTAAATACGAAACATGAAAGATTATATGAAATAGCCCCTACTATTACCATAGAAGGTAAAAGAAGTAAATAGTGGAATTCTGTACAAATTGGTTAGAGCTTTTAGGATGGAATGGATATCCAATATGTTACAGTCCGGTTTTTTTTTAAAATAGAACGTTTGCAACTAAATGGCAATTTTAAAATTACTTCCTTGTTGCATGATATGTTGGATTAGCTGTGTAATGTTAAGGTCAGAAGATCCACCTGTTTTCTTTGCCATCTCTCCAGACTCTATTGCTCTCTCTCTCTCCTCCCTTGCTTTGTTATCCAAGAATTTCTGGAGTTACGTGAAAGCATCTCCCATTGCTAAATATGGAACATAGAAGATATTTGTTGGGATCTCACTGAGCACCTAACAGTAGGTTGCTCTGTCAGATTCTTTTTTGCAGCAGCCGTTGGATAACATGCGAAGGTAGGCAGGACACCGTTCAGTTTGGTTTGGTCTAGAGCCGAAATTGTGAATCAAACCTACCATGTCGATAATAATTTGGTCGAACCATAAACCGAACCAATAAGATTAGTTTAGGTCGGTTCGGTTTATCAAGATTCTCTTTACACCAATTTTCTTATTTTGTTTAATTATTGTTTTTACAAAAATTAATAGGCCGAAAACACACCCATATTTGGTTCTTCTAAATCAACCTAATAACATTCCAAATCAAACTAAAGACAGTAATGAGAGCAATAGTAAAATAAACAACTGCATTACAATCATTACAGAACAGAATGTATGCAGTAAGCAGTACGCTTGAGAAAAGAACATTCAAACTCTTCTAGTTTTTTCTTTAAAAAAAAGAAGAAAAAAAACTCTTCTTAGTTTGTATTTATGCAGTTAGTTCCTTGATCTCTTGGATTAGCTGTTTTATGTTGAGGTAAGAAGATCCACCTTCTGCTACTGCTCTCTTTGCCATCTCTGCTAACTCTCTGGCTCTCTCTCTTCTTCCTTGGCTTTCTTCTCCATCCATCAATTTCTCTATGGCCTCCTTCACCTTCTCCTTTCTTAAAACCACCCTATTCTTCTCCTCCTCTCC